AATCTTCAACATGAAATCATCATGTTGAATCTATCATTTTCTTCCCTGCAGTAAAGCAGGTTTCAATGTGGTTTCATTCCTTATTTTCAATATGGTATCAGAGCAATCCTCCTTAGTGATTGCTTCCTCTTCTTGTCAAGCTTCTCCTGCTTAGACTTAACACGTTGTGCCTCAGCCAACAAAGCCATCCTCCTTGCGGCTTTAGCATATGGGTTTAGCTTCAGTATCACATTGAGATTCTTTAGCGGGATCTTCTTCAATGGAGCCCTCTTGATCTCCTTCTTAATTGGTTTCACCACAGACTGCACCTCATCAAAGTTAATGATCCAGAACAAGATCAATTCATCTTCATTAGTGACTTGATTTCGTAGCAATTGACAGAAGCTAATTTGTTCAATTCTTCCTCATCAATGAGTTATTCCACATTGATGATGGATCTGGTTCATTTTCCTGCTTCCTGGAGCAGATCAATTACTAGAGATGTTTCTTCTATTTTCTTTAGCTTTGTACTAGAGATGTTTTCATGGAATTTATTCAGATTCCATTTTCTATGTTCTTCTCATTTATGAATGTTAATTCATGGTTCTAATTCATGCCAAATAAGAAGATAACTTATGCTTCAGATCTAGCGTTGTTTTCTGAATTGGTGGTTGGCTCACCTCTCAATAGCAGCTTATTTCCAAATGTGGTCACATACAGTTCTTTGATTGATGTCTACTACAAAACCTGCAAAATTAAAAATGCTTTTGAGCTCTATGAGGAGATGCTTCAGAGGAGACTGTTTCCCACTATTGTGAGCTACACCATCCTAATTGATGGTCTCTGCAAAAGAGGGTTGATGGAGGAAGCATATTCTATTTTTCATAATGCTCTACACATGGGACTAATGCCCGATATAGTAGCATATACAGTTCTTATTCATGGTTACTCCAAAGTTGGAAGGCTCGTGGATGCCATGTCATTGTACAAACACATGCTAGAAGATGGAATTCTGCCTGATTTTATTCTACAATCCACACTTTAATCTTCAAAATGGACTATTGTTGATCTCCATAGTCCATCTTGA